ATTTCAGGGATGCCCCTAGGATCCTGGCTCCAGTGCCCCCACCCCCAGCCCACTTCTACCTGTCCCATAGTCAGAGAGCCTGTGGGGAGAGGGAGGGATGAACTGGGAGGTTTAGGGTCCCAGCTGGGGTGCATGTGCAGGACCCTTGTACCCAGCTAGAAACAGCAAACCTGAAGGCTCCCAATCCACCCTCCCTCACCCCCAGAATCATTCACCAATCCTGCCTCTCCCCTCTGAGGCCTAGAAAGGAGGCAGGGAGAGGACCAACCCCAGACCTCCACCACTCTCAACTGGCTGGGCTCCCAGGCCATTCCCGTTCCCAAATCCTGGAGGGTCAGGAGGTGTGAGAGTAAGATGGAGAGGAGAGAGAGAGAGAGAGAGAGAGAGAGAGAGAGAGAGAGAGAGAGAGAGAGAGAGAGCACTGGGGCTGGGCAATGCTCACTTGGCTTCTGAAGTTTAACACCCCCTTGGAAGCCTGGGGGAGACCCAGGGAGCAGGTGAGGAACCCAGGGACTCCCCCCAACCCTGCCAGTCTAGCCTAGGAAACAAGTGAGCCAGGCTTGCCCACCCTGGAGCAGGGCTTAGTGGGATGACATGAGGAACAAGCAGAGACAGGAAAGAGTGGGGGGGATGCCCAGGGCAGGCTACACAGGTGAGATGACACCAGAAAAGTCTTGATAGATTCCAGGGGGTGAGGGGAAGTGTGTGCAGGAGGGAAAAGAGGACACCTGCCAGAAGGGTCAAAGGTGGGCTTCTCCACCTGGGGGGTGTCAGTGCTGTCCCCATGTATTCCGGAGATAGCTGCCCCCCCAACCCATGAACCCCGTTTGCCCACCCCTTACCTGCTCCCAGGCCACTGGGGGAGCCGAAGCCTGGGGGGAAATGAGATATTGAGCATAATGGGGAGGACCAGGAGCTAGAGGGCCCCACCCTCATTTGGAGGACAAAGAGCTGCCCTGGCCCTGCCCACCCCCTCTGCCAGCTTTACCTGATCTGTAGCCATTCAGCCTCCCTAAGCCTGCGGGGTCAGGGAGAAGGGGGGTGATTTAGGAGGGTCAAAGAAGACCAAATCTTGATGCTCCCCCCCCTCCACTCTGCAGAGCAAGAGTACACCCTCTTCTCTGGGTCTCTGTTTCCCCTCTGGTGACAGGTGAGGGCAAGGACAGGACCAGGTGAGCAGACTGTGGCAAGTATTCAACAGCAGGGTGTCTGGGCTGTGCCGCTGGAAGCAGGTCCCCCACCCCCTCTTCCTCAGGCGTGTGTGCACCTCTCCCCTCCATTCTTACTTCGCAGAGTCTTTGCACCCCTCCCTTTCTGGCAATCTCATCCTCCTCAACCCCCCTCCCCAATCTTTCTCTACAGCAGCTTAGATGCATAAGGCCTCAGGAGGGTGCCCCTGCTCCCACCCTTACAACCCCGCAAGTCCCTGGAGTAAAGACCCTTCTGTGAAACTCAGCCTCCTCTCCCCCTTCCCCTGCTCCAGGCTTGTCTCTTCCCTTCCAGGCCTTTGACACTCTTGCTTCCAGGGATGTCCTTCCCTTTTCCCTCCTCCCATTAAAGACCCAGCTCTAGGCCCCCCTCTTGGCCCCAATATTCTAATGCCCAGAGTTGAGATTCTGCCCCATATCACTCTTTTCCAGGGGTGCAGGTCTGTGCTCCCCACACTTGAGCTGACCATGCACAAGACTGCCTGCCTGGAAGACAGGGAGGAACACTGTGCTCTCCTGGGCCTCACATCTGGATCCCAGAGCTGGAGAACATCTGGGGCTCTCCCCCAGAGAGCTCCCAGACCCCTCGCGGGAGAGACTAGGTCCTCTTCCTGGGCCCCAAGCCCAGGAGGGTCCACTCACCTTTCCCTAGGCCAGGAGATAAACCAGGCAGCCCTGGGGAGCAGGGGTGTGCTGACTCAGGACAGGGACCCCAGAGACAGAGAGGAGCAGGACCCAGCCTCCCCAAACCCTACCCAGCCCAGATTTCACACACCCAATCCTCCCTCTCTCTGACCCAATGCTCTGCTGAGACCTCCAGCCTCAACCCCAGGTGCCCAGACCCTGCAGCTGCCAGCCGCCTGCCCTCACCGCCTTGCAGGCTTTCAGAAGTCAGGCAGAGCAGGAAAAGGGCTATGGGGAAGGCCCAGGTGCCCATGATGCCTGGAAGAGTGGGAGGGCACACAGCCTTCCAGCCTTTAAACACCTCTGCTGGGTGGGGGCCCTCACCCAGGCCCCCAGCTGTGAGTAGCAGAGGCTCTGCCGTCAGATCCCAGGGGGCCAGCCCCCACCTCCCTCTACAGCAGGAATCCAGTCCCTGGCCTTCTCCATGCCCCACCCCTCATCCATCATGGGTGCTGACAGCCAGGACAGGCCCCCACCTGGCCCCTGAGGCTCCTCCACCCGTCAGTGACTGGGGCCCTGGCGCCAGGCCTGGAGGGCTCAGCTGGTGAGGGGCAGGCAGGCACCAGGGGGCACTCCTGGCCCAGCCCAAACACAGCTGGGGAGAGTGGGGAGATAGGCCCAGAAATGTGGGTGTGACTGGCAGGGGAGACTCAGAATGAGTTACTGTGTTACACAGAGAGAGAGAGAGAGAGAGAGAGAGAGAGAGAGAGACAAAGGAGGCACAGGCCACAGAGTGTTACAAAGGCCTGTGGCGAGGTAACTGTAGTGCATTGTATCTGACAGGTAGACTTGCCCACAACAAGAGAGACTATTAACCCCGAAGGCCACAGTACGACTCAGGGAGATGGACCTTTGTTCCCACCTGAGGCTG